CTCTACGCCGAGGCATCTAAAACAAAATGTGCATTTAGGTACTTATATCACCTTTTTATCTACTTATTTAATAAAATACATTAAGTATGTATCTAATTAATACTAATATCTAATTGAAGCCACGATAGCCGAACGGTGAAGGGGTCGGACTGGTCGACTCGTGATCCGGGGAACGCGGGTTCGGTCCCCGCCGCCGCTCGACTATTGTGGTGAGCTCACTCGTGACACAAGCATATTTAGCATAGTACGAGGGGCTAACGGGAGTATTAGTAATTTGTGAAATAACAAATTACTAATAATCTTTTTAAAAAAAAAAAAAAAAAATGCTTAATGCATGCAACTATGAATGAGCCTAGACTATATTTTCAGTAGGTAGGTGTGCCTGTAATTGTAAAAATATAATTGTAAAAATGTAAAATAACCACGNACTCTAAAGTAAACAAAATGCAAGGGATCTCTTACCACATGTGATTATGCAAAATTATTTAGTATTTATATTTTCAATTATTTATGCAAACAATCAAGACGCCATGCGCCATGTCCAAGTTAAGAAAGAGAAAGCGATCTTGTTTTGACGTTAGAGCGATAAGGATGCGTGCGCTGCGGACATAGATTGGTTAGTGCAGAATCGTTAAAACTATAGCTATCTCTTTCATTTGCGTACTATTTCGTATCTTTTGTTTCACTTATCAGTTACATTTGTCAATGTGTGCAATTTGGAATAGCTCGGAACGGATTAAAATCGTAATTTCTATGAACGTAACATATCTATAGTTCTATAATATCATTGGCTGCAAACTATATAACAAGGGATACTGCAAGTATAGTGATTATATTTATGGCACAAAACCTTGAAATCACTGAACTAATAGGTAGGTACTTTGTTGTAATATCACAGAATAATAATAAGTACTAAGTACAGAAGTTTTACTTCGCGAAGGTGTTTAAAAAAATGTATGCTCAATGTCTCTAACAATATGGTGTAATTTAGCCTGTCTCTAGAGTCAAGCACCATTTTGTTGACAAACGTCAGTGATCCGCACTGCGTCGAAGCTATAGGGCTGACTTCGGTAAAATGATGTGATGTGAGGTGCCAAACTGCGGAAAATGGCGGAGGAAATACATGAATTATCATGAATAATATTTATTCCTTATTTACCTCTCAGTGTCTTGAGGCAATTTAAAAAAGTGCATTCTGTGTTTTTATTAGGTATTATTTAGGCAATTAAATACTGAACAGTATTTAGTACACCACTTTCTTTCGCTCGTATGTGAGGCCTTGTCGAATAGTATCCTGTAGGTGGGCCATCGTGCGTGTTTTATTTTCGATGTAAACTCTCGGATATAAACAGGCCTGGTAATATTAACAACATAAAGAACACTTACTTCTTCCAATTGCTCAGCAGCTTCCTTATTCTCCGCCTCCAAACGCCTCAAGCTTTGCACCTGCAGCTCTGCCGAGCTCTCCTCACTCGGCAGCGACTCGATCAGCGTGTCAATATCCTTCGCACACCGCGAAATGAGCGTCGCAAACAACACTGCATAGTCCTCCTGATTCTGCTGTTGTTGAGGCGTTTGCGAACCACTCCGGTCAAACCCAGGGAACTTGCTAGGCGTGGAGAACTGCTGCAATATGCCTATGCTGTTGCAGAAGTGCTCAGCTTGCTGCAGAAAAGAAATAAAGTCAAAACCAGGGAAGAAATGGTACGTACAAAGTTTCCAAGATTTGTAGGTCGTTTACCTGGTTAATGGTGTCTTGCAGTTGTGTAAGACGATCTGCCATGATGAAGGCTTATTGTAATGAATGAAGTAAAAGGATTTGAATATGATTTTTGAAGAAATTAGCAAAATTTTAACACCCACAACTGACACAGCAAAGCAAACAATTTTGACTGTGATTTTGACAAATCTTTGACAGTTGACACTTGACAGAGGCAATGCAGGTTTTTTTTAATACAAAACACGCAAGGGAAAACTCACAAAACACCTTTATGTTCTCCTTCAGTCTCTCCTTGCAATTAGGGCGTTTGCTGTCCACTGTGCACTATGCAAGAATCGTATTAAGACATCAAACTACTTTTTATGTCCTTGTGGCTTGGTCTCAGCCTTGTGTACTATTTTGCAACTAAAATAAAGCGCGGTGTTTGGCATGAAGCTACAGATAAAAATGGAGGGCAAAGTTGGGAACAAAACTTGAGTCAAATACCTACTTATCTCTATCTCGCTCTCTGTGGGCCGACCTCTCTTTTTAGTGTGAACTGTAGTATTGCTATCTTCTTATTTAAATCTCCTTGTAAATTCTTCGAAATAGCCAATTCACTAACCAAATAAGAAGTTAAATAAATAAATTATTAATATTTGAAACTTAGATTACCTAGTTAAATAAAAAATCACAAAATTGTCGGCCATTTAGGCTTAATGTGTTGGCGAATCAGGGAATTACAATCCCAATTTCTGAGGTATCGGTAATGTGGCAACATCGGCCGAATCCGGCCCATCATGGCGGTTGTTTACTATGCAGTTGATTTCGTTTGAGATTTTTCAAGGGACGTTATCATTGTTTTGTCTGAAGAAATGGTGCAAAATTGTATAGTGCGTGGTTGCGGTAGTTCGTGTTATCCTGGAAGTGATATAAAATTCCACGCGTAAGTGTTTATTTCGTGATTTCTGACAGTGGATCATTGTTAACATATTTCTTTGTATTTTCACAGTAATTACTTCCTAAAACGTTTTACCAGTATTTAAACTTATTATTAAATGTTACATATGTCAAGAAAAAGAAGATTTTACATTGAGTTTCATTGACTTTGAGCAAATTTAAAATTTTTGTTTCTATAAAAAATGGCTACTGGTTAACATCGCGCGTTAACTTGGAGCTAAAAATGGGTCAAAGTTACGCGTCGTGTCACAACGCTTATAATAAAAATGTACGAGCACTTGCACAAAATAGTTGTTACAACCAACCTTTTGTTGGGTCTAATTCTCGTCACTACACTGCACAACTTAAAATAATTACGTTTTTTGTCGGTAAAAACGTCCTGGTGACGTCACTTAAGCATTTTTCTTATACTGCGTGCGGTCGTTGCGCGTGCGCACAAAGGAATGAGACCGCTCGGACACCGAGCCCACAGCGTGGTAGGGGTGGGGTGCACGCTCTTTTGTTTTTTAATACTACTACGCTGAATATGTGTGCGGATTGGGTTGTCGTACAGGGGTACTACATGGTAAAATAAATCTCGGAGGCGAAAGCAGGATAATAGACGATAATCACCCTACGGTTTTAAAGATCTTCCTTTTGTCCATGTGGACCTCATTTGGCTGAATCGAGTGGACAAACAAAGTATTCCTTAAAATTGAATGTTGTCCCTGAGGATTTTACTTCGCCACAGCCCTACTGCATTATTGCATCACCAACCTTTGATGACGCTTTCACTGTCGCGTATTAGCGCTTATCTGGGGATAACACTCCCGCTTATGACGCTATGCGATCGCTTCGTTAAGTGAATCGCTATGGGCTCACTCCAGAGGTGACGAGAGCCACTTTCTATTTTATTATTTGTTGATAGATTGTTGTTACGAGCGCATTCGGTGGGAGCCAGATGCATTTGGAAAAGTTTTTATGGTTATGTAATACTGAACTGATCTGGGAACGTTTTAGGGATCTCGGTGAATACTTCGAGATTGAAATTAGAGCCGACTTTTTCTCACCTATTAAGCTAGGTTCACACGGGACTGTGCCGTACGATTTATTGCCGGGTAAACGTCATGGAATTTGCTAGGATAGATGACCATTCAAACGTAAACGTAGAGCTAAATACTCGATCCAATACTCACCGTACCTACCTGTCAAGTTAAATGAATAAACAATGATGTCTATGTCTGCGACGAAAATATTATGTGGTGTGTGCATATTTAATAAATCGAAATTTAATAATTATGTAATACCAATCGACATTTAATAGTATGTAAATCAATCGACATTTAATAATAATAATATGTAATAACAATCGACATTTATAATCTACTAGCTGACCCGGCGAACTTCGTACCGCCTTAGCGTAGAGATTTTCTTAATATTTTTTTCCGTAAGAACCATCCTTGGACTTCCACAAACATTTAAAAAAAAGAATTATCGAAATCGGTTCAGCCGTTCACACGTGATGCCGTGACAACGCGAAACGGGTTTCATTTTTATATATATAGATAATTTGCATGCTAACTGACATTGGCTAAATAGGACTGCACTTTTATAAAATACCATCCACCACTTATGTATTTACCCTATTTATAAGCAAATAAAGAATTTGAATTTGATACGTTAATAACCAAATACTGTTAAAATTTTCTAGTACGATGTCTTGTGAATTCAACTTACTCTTCAAAGAGCTGAAAAAAAACTTTTCCTCCAAACACACCACTGTGTAGAGTGGGCCAGATATACTTCTATACTATCTATTTGAGTATTGTATCTTTTATTCCAGTGAAATGTAGTGGCCAGCCGATACTTCGAAATATTCGATAGATGGGTTTGATGGACCATTGATTGATGTGGCAATTATGTAGAAAAGATATCGGGTTTCATGCATAGGAATGATACGTATGTGGGTCGTTGGATGTCCAGTAAAATTAACTGATTAAAATTTTAAGCTTGACAATAATAGTAGGGTAGACCGGGGACAATAGTACCATTTTTTGGAAATTGTTCAATATTGAGAAATCTAATGAAATGTAACTTATTCTGTTAGGATGCTGTAAAAACTAGACTCTTAAGCTACAAATTTAAGCATGCAGAGTTGAACTATTATTTCGAATACTTAATGAAAAACGAATTTGAACTGTACGATGTCTCATGTTACAATTGACCCCTACAACGGGTCAATTGTACCAATAATATATGAGGCAATAAAAGTAGTTATGTTTATCTAATCATCACCTTTATTGGTATTCTGTTCTCTTAATCTCCTACAATCATCAGTCTTTATTAATTGAGATCGAAAATATTTAGAAACAAGTATGAAAAATCAACACTTAAGTTTAAAAACAACACAATAACTTTTCTTCCATAAAAACGAATAAACTAACTGTTTCTACATAATATGCCATCTATTTGGCTCGGATATTGCTTCTGAAACAACAATAAGCATAATAACAATGATAGAAATATCAAAACTGAAAAATCTATTTTTGTATGAGGGTACAATTGACCCCTGGTACAATTGACCCTGATTATTTATACCTACTACTGCTTCGACCTTTTAAGATTTTTTCATAAGCCTGTTCATAAAGGAATAGATCCGTTGATCCGCGATCCGTACTTTTGACTCTACGCCGAGGCATCTAAAACAAAATGTTCAAATACTTAGTTACTTACTGAATTAAGCTAAAATGTACATATTCAGAAGGGTTTTAGAAACCTATATTAAAACATTTTAAGTAGGCATTTAGGTACTTATATCACCTTTTTATCTACTTATTTAATAAAACACATTAAGTATGTATCTAATTAATGCTTAATGCATGCAACTATGAATGAGCCTAGACTATATTTTCAGTAGGTAGGTGTGCCTGTAATTGTAAAAATATAATTGTAAAAATGTAAAATAACCACGTGAATGTTTTATAATAACTTATCTTATTATAAGTATAGGTACTTTAAAACCAATTTAAAATATTATGTAGTAAGTATAAAATAAGGTTCCGGGGGTTAATTGTACCACGGGGTTGATTGTACCGCTACAATTGACCCCATGGAGACTGGTACAATTGTTCCAAGTAGGTAGTCAAGAGAACTTCACCTAAAATTCAGTCATTTTCACAGAGAATGCCAATAATTCGCTGTCATTACAAAGTTTAGAGCCTGGATAAACTATTGACAACAATACTTTGGTAACAAATAGCATATTAGGCAACTTATGGGCTCATATATTTGACATAAAAACTTACTGCGGCTGGGCAAAAAACAAAAATCCTTCCTGTACACCTTCGTTTCTCAGCACAAGCGCCGCCGACTGGTGAGCGGATGGAAACACAAAAAGCGCATATTCTGACGCTATGCACACAATCTAACGTCGCTTGTATGAAGAAATATCGCCGATGGTACTATTGACCCGTGGTACTATTGTACCCGGTCTCCCCTACTCAACTAGTTATTTTGAAACTTTTACTTGTCATTAAAATTAATTAAAAGTCTTGCGCTCTAGTGCTGTAACTGTACCTGAAACTAATAAATATTCCCAATAAAGGAAGTCGATTTTAAACAAATCAAATAATTTTAAATTTTAGGTGAGCAAATAAATACTTTGACTTTGACTTTGACATACAACATTTGTAGTGCCCGTAATTTGACAGGCAATTCATGCCGGAATTGCGTGATGCGTTTTATTTATTTTTCTATGAAAGAAGCGTAAACATGGGTCCGTAAAGAAAACAGCCCCACAGCCCCCGTGTAAGGAACCCGAAGTGGGTCAGGGGGTCACCTCATCAATACTAAAGTAGTTCCCTGTAGTTCTGCTGTAAGATATAAACTGCTGTATTTGTGCCCGGGAATTTGATTATCTCGAGGAAAATGGTTGAGGAAATCGTATCATAAAGATGGCAATGTTTTTGTCGAAAACTAGACGATCTTTCAACTTAATTATGGTCTCTTGACGCAAGCAAAAAGAGAAAGAAGATAATATTCTGTGTTGTGTTTGTTGTTTGCTGTCATCACCATAATAAAAATAAACTTAACACTGCAATGACTGTCTAGAAATACTCGTAGACCGTTTTGTGCAACTCGTAAATATCTCATAATCCAAAGCATTCCAATCCAGCCGGTGCATTTAATCTGACATTGAAATAACAATTTGTACTCGCAATACTAACAACAGTAACAACCGCACTAAACTGTGGCAAACGTCCACGTTCCGGGCAAATAGCCGCGATTTCACGCACAAAATGAACAACAATTAAGAGTTGTCAAAATGTCCGACACCCGTCCATAAATCCGCATTGATTTGCGATAACAACCGTGCGCCGGCGATCGCGAACGCCATGCTTGGTTAAGTCAAGACCACACTGTCTGCAGACAAAGTAACACCCGTGACAGATTCAATTTCGTGATCGCTCCACTAAGCGTAGTTATTATGAATTAAGAGAAGTTGTGAAGCGATCACGGAATTGAATCGGCCACAAATATTCTCTACCCTGAAAACACTGAAAAGCTTTAAATATTAAGTTAAAGGTTTTCAGTGTTTTCAGGGTAGAGACACAACTTTGAGCAATCTTAGTTTAGCTAATAAACTAAGATATTGCTCTTTCTCTTCGTTACCATGAATATACTCGTAGTAAGCTTTCCTGCGTCCAGCGCTTCCCTGCTACCTTTACGATGTCGTCGGTCCACCTTGTAGGTGGACGTCCCACGCTGCGTTTTCCGGTACGCGGCCTCCATTCCAGAACCTTTCTGCCCCATCGCTGCCGCTACCAATCGATCAACATGGAAAGCATTGGGGGTGGCCTATGTTCAGCAGTGGACGTCCTGTGGCTGAAATGATGATGATGATGATGATGAAGCTTTCCTAGAAAGTTATGAAATTAATTGCTTTACAGTCATTAACTTGTTCCTGATGATAAACCTACAAATCGTAGTTAAACGATTGGACATGATGTCTTTTAAAAAGATAGCCATCCTCAAAAGTTCAGATCTGAAGGTTTACCAGTCAGAGACTAATTTAGGTAGCTAGAGTAAGCGATATAAGCCGGCCATCATGGCGCTTAAGCTGTCGCCTTCCACTAAACCGTGAGATGAAGCGGCTGCAGTGTGCTCTTAGCTTAACTTGCGTAACCTTGCATCCATAACTCATATTCGTCGACGCATAACTCACTGTTCGAACCAATTTATGGACCGCGAGCAGAGTGGTAATGATAGCTCACCGCGCTGCAGCGTCAGCCGTGGTAGCTACAACTTTGTTGTGAAGCTTATTCAGCTTTTTAAAATAAAAAATGTTTCGCCAATAATTTTACACACTTAAAGTTGCAATAATTATGTAGAGCTTTGGGTTAAGAAAAATGACGTGCGAATCTATACAAATCTAATTAATACAATGTAATTTTATTCTATGTTCTTTATTGGTATTTTATAGATTACAAAATATATCAAACATTATAAAAGTATAAGCAATAAACTCGCATTCAAATTTAAATGGTCTTGAACTCATGAAATTGACAACATTTCGAAATTTTATTTGAATCGAAAGCAATTAGATAAAATCCAATTTAGTTTTAATGATACGACATGTTAGTGACACTTTCGAGTTGATTTGACTTGAGGTAAGCTACTATTGTAGTTTGATGTCAATACACCTGAATCTACAAAGCATAATGAATTTCACCTTGTAAAATGCTTTTACTATTAAATCAGGTTCATTCAGGTGTAAGAGCTAACTGTTTAAGCTTACAATAAGGTTGAATATATTTGAAATTATAATTTGATTGACTTAACATTTACTTTGATCCTACATGGAATTCACAGGAAACTATTACTACGTTAAGTTTGCAAACAAGGTGGTTAATAATTAGCTCCACAAGTGCTGGACAAGTTCACATACACATATTTGTTTTTGAAAGTACTATTATACTCATACATTTCCTGTATTACCATTTACCATATTATTAAAATGCAGAATGATAAAGCACACAAACTTCAATAAGTCGTAATTAATTGATATTTTCGTATAATATTGTATGTCGCCTTTGATTATAATGATCAAAGTTCTTTGTTCCCATTAAAGCGTCTTCAGTGGTAAGCTTTTAAAAGCTCACTGAAACCTTTCTTGATTATCCTATATTTAAACGTGATACTATTATGGCTTAGACGACTTATTGAGTAATTACTCGTTTGATGGCTATTCTGTATTATCAATCAATTTGTAAAGAAAATCATCATTTTAGATTACATGACGGCTGCTGAAGATAGGCCTCTCCCAATTAACGATTGTAGCCTAACTTTGTCATTTTCATAATGACATGATCTCGTGATCTTGATACTTTATACAATAACATAGGTTTCTCTTGTTTTACAGCGATGCGTGTGGCACTGCGGCGGCGGCGGCCGCAGCGTGAGAGAAGCGGCGGCGATGCACTACCGCGCCGTGTGTCGCGCGCTCGTCGCCGAGGCTTTGGAGTTGGCGTCGTTCCTCGCCAGGGTGCGAGTGGGCGGTGCTAGGGACCTAGGGGCTGCTGAAGACTCCGCAACACATCTGGACACGTTGAAGTTCTCTGACTGGGTACGTGTCTTGTTCACAACTTACAGCTTGTTCTAGCACCACAAGCTTTTAGTGCCGCAGCGTGCAAGAAGCGGCGGCGGCGCGCACTACCGCGCCATGTCGCGCGCTCGTCGCCTTGGCTCTGGAGTTGCCGTTGTTCCTTGTAAGGATGCGAGTGGGCGGTGCTAGGGACCTAGGAGCTGCCGAAGACTCTGCCACGCACCTGGACACATTGAAGTTCTCTGACTGGGTACGTGTCTTGTTCACAAATTCTAGCTTGTTCTAGCACCACAAGTTAAAACTTTTAGTGCTGCAGCGTCCGAGAAGCGTCGGCAGCACACTACCGCGTCGTGTGTCGCGCGCTCGTCGCCGACGCGTTGACGCGGGAATGTGTATTCTACACACGCAAAGTATTCTGGAGCGAGATCAAACGCGAAGCTCAAGACCGACCGCGATGGACGACTGTTGGACGCCCTCTGCCTCATCTAGGGGACATAGGACCATAAGTCAAAGTATTCTGACAAGGTGCATTTCATATCAATAAGTAAGTGCGTGTATAGCGCAGTGATCGCAGATCGAAGTGAAATCCATTGCTGCCGTTGCAGTTTCTGACTAGGTAATTTGGTTTTTATGGGCGCGCATGAAGGGCTAAAGGTTTTAGAATAGTACTTAATACCTAGTATACAGTTTAGTGTGTGGTCCCAATTGTAAAAGAAACTGCAAGTTTTCATTGTAATATTGCCAGAGGTCGATCAAAGTTGATCTTGGTATGTTGAAATGCCAATCGTCAACCGTTCATAACGAAGATTGGCGTGCACAACGCACTTCGCTTTGGCAATCGAAAATTTGCGAGTCTAATGCACAAATATGCGGTCCCAGACTTGCATAGAAACTTCGAGTGCAAGGACCTGTGTTACGCATGCGGTCTGCATGTTACCTAATGTACTATGTATTATTAATGTCGTCCCGCTGCTAAGGAATTTAGACTTGAATTAATTAGGGATATGTATGCTAACGTTTACAACGGCAACTTTTAAGTAAATTAGAAATCTTTATACCTTTCTCCTTTTATTGACTTCTTTGGATTAAATTGCATGAAAGTTAAAATCTTCTACATACCTACTGTAAATAATATAAAATTTTTCTAAAGTCTATGTTAAAATCATTGTGTTCTGTGTTAGGCAAGATGTTTGAACGACATTGACCAATCTAATAATGTAACTTTTTCAATCATAGTCGAACCGAAGGATTTGGAGAGCTCTACAAGTACGTAGACAATGGAAAATGATATGAAAGCTTGCTTGTACACTACTGTATGTTGGAACACATGAAGTCGAATGTACATAGTTCTCATGTAGGTGACAATGTAGCAGTACCTACAAACGACCTACTGACCTGTACTAAACCATTTAACTACTTAGTGCATGCGATAGTTACTTTAATTATAGTTAGTTACTTCACTCTTGTCGATATATGTAAACCTACTAACTGTTATATTATTTTAACTTATTCTCGTAACTTCCATTTAAGTTGGTCATTTACATACACTTCACTGTACGCCTTTTGCTTTAGCCTAGCAATGTTGCACCAAGAGAACTTATTGCTATTTCGTTTTTCCAGGCGCGGTTTTGGATGCAAGTGATCGGAGAACTGAGGATGGGTGTAAAATTAAAGAAAGTAAATTATTCAAGGACTCCAATAGAATATGAACTGACCCCGTACGAAATTTTAATGGATGATATCAGATCTAGAAGATACACACTGAGGAAGGTGGATGGGGCGATACCTCAAAAGTGAGTTAATTTTTCCTGACACATTTTTATCATCCTTCTTGATTGTTTCTAAACTCAATATTCTGAACATTTTGATATTGAATTAGTATAAATTGTATTTAACATTATTTTATTAATTTTCTTTTTCATTGTTTGCAGCGTGAAGAAAGACGCACATGCCATGATACTCGAATTTATTAGAAGTAGACCGCCACTGAAAAAGGTAAGCAAAAATATCTTTATAAGCACAACAAGTAAACAGTAATTATATCATATTTTAACGAACCCACGTCGAATAAATAACGATACTTTAAAAACAAACCACATGTTGCTATGTAGGTATCTAGGTTTATTTTAAGGCAAACTTTATGAAGTTGTTTATTATAACAGTAGCTGAAAGTAATGCCCCCACTAGTTCTTACACAAGAGCTTTTCATAAATGTAGAGCCTTTATAGTTAAGCTTGTTATCTACGAGACACACACTGATCGAACAGGCGCTTTAAAGCTTTTATTCCTTCCAAGCTCAGAGAGCATTGTGAGCTTAATCCACCCTTTATCTGGTGCGTTCAGCATTCAGTCGTGCACCAGACGGAAAAGCTTTCCAGTTTTAATACCAAAGCTTCAAATGCATTGTTGGGTTGCTTACACAAAAGTAGGTGGTTTGATTTTGCTGGAATATAAGTGATTTATACAATAAAATATACTTACTTTGATTAAAGAATTATTTTCAATGGAAATTCTAACACACTTTATTCAAAAACCTGAAATGTAATCGCTGTGTAATGAAAACAAAGTTGCTATAAAACTATAAGTTGTTTCTTTCTCACTGTATAGAAATAAATCATTCTATACTTCACTTTGATGCATAGTTTCTCTTTCTTCATACTCCTCAAATGATACCAGATATACTTTATAGACAGTTACTTATATTATAAGATCCCAATAAATTCGTCATTACAAATGTTAATCATTCACAATGATTATGGTAGTCTACAAAGACCACTCTACATTGTAGAGTTCCAATCAAAATCAAAATCAATAATATTTTATTCAATTTTGACCACTGGTGGCACTGATGAACAATTAGAAATGGGTATTGTATAATATGTATGTATTTACAAAAAAAAAGTAGGTATGTTTTTATCCGTTGTCTAGTACCCATAGTACAAGCTTTGCCTAGTTTGGGACTAGAAGCGCAGTGTAAAATGTCCAAGGATATTTATTTTATTTTTATTTTATTTTAAATGCATCGCTTAATTTCGCATTCAGCCTATAGTTTTACTGTACCAACCTCTCATAACCCACTTGTCTTGTTGTGCAGGCATCAGAACGAAAACTACCACCACCACGGCGGGAGACCACGCCAAGAGAACAGCTGCTCGCCTCGATACAGGTCGGCCGGACGCTGAGGCCGACGCCGTACTCGAGAAGATTATGTGAGTACATTTGTATTTTAATTTAAAATAGAAGAAGCGTGATCGATGTTGTCGAATAAAGGACACTTATTAACCCGGAAAGGGATCGTAACCGTATCTTTTCGAGGCGAAACTCCATGAAACTCCATACTGCAACGCACACTTATCCGCCCTAACGCCTTGGCTCGCGGATGACAGCGCGCGAAAGGCGATGACAGCTTTCAAAAGGCGATACGGTGTTAACCCTTTCCGAGTTGATAAGTCTGCTATGATCTTTATCGTGTGTTGTATTTGGTCCTCAAGTGGCTGGGGACAGAAGTCGATGGAATGGAAGGAGGCCTAGGTTTAAAGACGAACCCAAAGTATAGATAGTATTCGGTCTCTAGGCTAAAAATATAATTATAAGAGGAGATTAACGGGCTTTTAAATCACCCGGTGTTAAGCTATCACCGTTAAATAAGTAAAATACTTAATCCCTTCCTTTTTACTCTCGTTTACAGATTCCCTATCCTTCCCGATACATCCTCTCCCCGAACGTTAACTTTCAATCCTGAAAAGAAGAATTTTAGCATGCAGTTTTTGAATCGTTTTGTTTATTTATTATAAGAACCAGTGAGTGAATAAACTTTTACTAAAAAGCTTAATGAAGTGCGTATGATTTCGTATTTAGTTTCATCTTTTAAACCGTATAACAGGTATATAACTCGTCATGTATACATACACAGTATTTCCATTTAGCAATATACTGAGATATCATTAAATGTAGAGTTTAGAGAGCTTTTAAGTACTTTTAAGCTCCTTATAGGAATGAGTTATAAAAAGCACGTTGTTTGCACTCGTTGCTATGAGTGTTTTTGCAGGCGTTTTGGTGCGAACTTTTTTCAAACAAAATAGAGTACATAAGTAGCTTTAAAGTATCTCGCTATTATTATAAAGTTATATTTTATTTAACTAAATAACTGCTATTTTTATTTTACTTTAGTTATGATCTCGACTAATCATACTCTGACAAAGGTAATAAATACTACATAGTAGGTCGTTTCATGTCTTTGTCTAAAAAAATATGACAAACAATATCACGAACCTATTTTATCAAGTACCAAGTGTTCTTTCACAACACGTGTACTCCGTACCCACGTACTTATCAGATCCAGTTTCGCAAGGCGCCACACAATGCGGCGAGTGGTGCAGTGATACGCATACTTAAGGTCATCTCTCACAGCATTCGTTGTTTTTTGAACTCTGATTTTATCAAATGCTCATAGGAGGTATCTCCCGAAATAAATGTATGGTATTACGAATTAAAAAAATCAAGAATTTTACTCCTTTTCGTGATCATGATAGAAGTTATAAACTGCAAGTAATTGATATTTAACAAGTCAAAATCGATGAATAAGTACATAATCGTTCTGCTGTGGAAAACTGCGCCGAATCATTTTCAGGCTGAAACAAGACAGATCCATTTAATTTTTGAGGTGAGCAGTGTGCATTATGTTGATAGTAAGAGTACAAAGTGGTACAAAGCTCTTCGCTCCGCATTCACTGACACAGTATGTGTGCTACCAATCCTTAGTGGCATTGAAAGTGAGTCTGGACTGGTTTCGATTGTTGTATTTGGAGCTTCTTAAAAGGTCTAAATTGTAATAACAGTAGCTTCCTGCAGATTAGTATTTAAATATTTCGATTTTATACTTATACTAGCGATCCACCCCGCTTTTGCACGGGTGCTAAGTATACATACTCGTATAAACCATCCTATAAAAAATCTAATAAAAAAATCATGTAATAAAAAACACACATCTAAATTCGTTGCGTCGTTTTAAAGATTTAGGTAAGCATACATAGGGACAGACAGACAAGAAAGCGACTTTGTTTTATACTATGTAGTGATGAAGATAGATAAGTATATCACGGTGACCGTGAGGTCGGGTCTTATTAGGGAAACTTACCTCAGTTTTGGCCCCTTCTCTAAGTTACAATGTTCCTCATCATACATCTACCTTTCAGCAAAATTGTTCAGATGTAAAAACATATGAACAGACGGAATTATTACTAAGTACCTACATATTATGATGACGATTGAATCAAAGTCAAGTTGTGGTGAGAACACAGTATCGCTTACCTATTACCTGGGATGTCCGAGTGCGGTTTTCGTTAGAGGATAGGGTTGTTTTTATTACTAGTTTCTAGCTAAAGTGTCTCATTAATGTGGGGAGTATTGTCTTGTGAGGGCCAAAGAAAGGTCTATTCTTGATAAACTATGATTCCATTTTCCTTTAGGTGGAGTATTTTAAATTTTTCGAGTTACATAGAGTTTGTATTTTAAACAGTAAACAAATACGAGTAATTGTTACTATATAAATAAGATCATAAACTTCCATCATACTCGGAAGGAATGCTCGTGCTCATTACAAAAACCTTAGACCGCGGAGAAATTTACAATACAATAGAAATAATACCCATAATGTCAGCTAGCGTTATAGATAATCTGGACCCCGACTAATCAACTTTATTTTTCATTTTTCATTTCGTCACTATTTTTCAAACATGATGTTGGATGTCAACAATATTTCTTCTCAGCACTGCAACTGGCCTATTTATTGTCCAGAAGCAGTGGTAGAGTTAATACTGGGACGTGTAAAAGTGCTTTTTAAAAGCCTATTTGCAAAAATAAATGAGTTTTATGACAAGAGTTTTTTTTCAGGCAGCCTTTAGATGTATTACAATAACAATATTATTAATTGTGTGCCTATCTGCCTACTACGCATGAAATATCGCAAACATGCACAGCCGTGACCTGAAATTCGCTGCCCTATTACACGGCATATTTCAGTTTACAGGCGGAAAGGTTCTCGCGTCGAAAGCGAATGATACTCCGGCGGATGAATAAATTCTTCGCCCACGTTTTGTCGTAAAATGAGGCCTTTCGTGAATGGAATACTTTTGTATGGAAAGGGAAATGATATGATATTTAGGCATTTTGAACACGTGTAAAAATAAGGCAGCGTTGTCACACTGAACATTTTTAATCACGAATTTACATACTTTTACTTACGTGACCTACTTTATCAAAATCAGTAATGAAAACAAAGCTTTTTTTGTGTGTACCTAGGTGGTTTTGTTATTTTTGGTGAGTTATAAATAAAAGTAATTTAATTTTATTGATCTATACTAGTACCAGTATTCAAAATTTACCTTGATAATAATTGATAATTATCATTTAATTTAACCCAATTACAGAACTTTACATTATTGACTAATTAACATAACTATAGTCTTTTTCACGTAAGATGATCCGTATGACACTTCAAGGTTATCCATATTACGCATACTACATATGCAGAATATTTTCGAAAAAATATTTGTATTTTATTAGCAATGTAATAAAAAAAAATTAACTACTTGTCTTGAAATATATAGTAAAATCTGAGTCTATTGATTATATTTTAATTAAATACGATGTAAAAATATGTTTTATTTAATGTACGCAATGTGTGAAACGGAATAGATTTAGTGCTGGGGTATTTCTTGTATAATAAAATCGATTATTTCCGCGGTTCATTAATCGATTGTGCAGTGAATACTTAGTTATTAAAAACATCACGAAAATCAACTATATTTTTCGATTATTGACTTTAAACGCATTGAAAATTAATTAATAGTTTTTAATTTAAAGAAACAGAACCAGTACTTTTTAGGAATCGTTTTTTTGAACACGAACCATGAAATTTGAATATATTCAATAAAAAAATTGTAACAATAATATTTGTAATTAAAAAAAAATGTTTTTGTTAAATAACACCTATCTATACATACTATACTTCTCGAGTGGCGACCACGGGCTGGAAAACGTAGCGTGGGCAGGCCTCCTACTAGGTGGACCGACGATCTGGTAAAGGTCGCGGGAAGAGCCTGGATGCGGGCAGCGCAGGACCGTTCATTGTGGAAAACCTTGGGGGAGGCCTTTGTCCAGCAGTGGACGTCATTTGGCTGAAACGAACGAACACCTATACAAAATAATTCTCTAAAAGTAGGTTTTACTAACTCTTCGAAAAAAATCGATAGATAAATCGCTATGGTTTAGTTATGTGACATCTCTAAATCTTTCAAACTCGAAACGTCATACGGATCATCTTAGGTGAAAAAGACTATAGATTGTATAGAGTTATCTCATTATTTTTGTACTTTATCCACATTAAAATGAATATTCCATTAGCGACATTTAACTAATAATTTAGTCGAACAAGTCGTCCAAACCAATTATGTAGGCTGGAGACGAAAATAGGTCATCTGCCTTAATCACCAGCAGTGGCCCGTCTGCGAGAGCCTAGGTATTCTAGGGAGAGGGAAAATTTATGTTTGGTACCTATTTATGTAAGCCTTTCATTACTTGGGATGCCTTTTTTCTAAATTCACAATAAGCCTAAGATTTGCGATCATACATAAGTATGCAGCAGTAATTATGATAAGTGTTATTCTTCAGGCTGTTGATTTCATGAAATATCTCGTGTAAAGTAAATTGGTACTTAGTTTTTATTAGATGAAGGGACTGCATAATCCGAGTAAGCTTGAGATTTTGGTTGATAAATGTGCAGCAGTAATTATGTAATTAGAAATATCTCTTCACGCTACTGATTTCATGATAGGCAGCAGACGAAATAAAGAAAGAAAGGACTCAAAACTTATAGATTGAAAACTGTTTGAGGCACACATCTTTAAGTCTCGTCGCAGATTCAATCTTGAGTGTATATTCGTGCTTAAGTTGTCTCATAATACGGCCCTTGTAGCAAAAAGGAAGAACACAGACCAGTGAAACCGTGAACTGTTTATATCAAGAGATGGAATTAAACCAGAGAAGTGGGTCATCGGTAATACGAGGCGCCGGGCTGTCTGGGCACCTATTCCAGGCTAGGCCGCGGGAACATTGATCTGGAACTTCTAGATGTTATGTAATCTATGATCTTGGTGTTACTTAACTCATCTTGGCAAAGAAAATATTGTATTTACATGTCTTAATTTGG